GTTTACTTTTGCAGGGGGAGCCGTGTCTTGGCAATCCAAGTTGCAAAAGTGTGTTGCTTTGTCTACAACCGAGGCTGAATACATAGCCGCTACAGAAGCATGCAAGGAGTTGTTGTGGCTGAAGCGGTTTCTCCAAGAGTTGGGTTTTAAGCAAAGTGATTATGGCGTTTATTGTGATAGTCAGAGTGCTCTGGATTTGAGCAAGAACACTGCATACCATTCACGCACCAAGCACATTGATATTCGTTATCACTGGATTAGAGATGCTATCGAGAACAAGATGCTACAGCTGAAGAAGATTCATACCGATAATAATTCTTCAGACATGTTGACAAAGGTGGTCACAAAATCAAAGTTGGAATTCTGCATTAAGGCTGCTGGGATGGACTCCAGGTAACTTGGAGTCATGATCGGAATTCCTCCCTCATGGACTGGAGGGGGAGATTGTTGGTATATGGTCCAGCCCATGATCAATGTTCTAGATTATTCTAGTAAGCAAGAGATGAGGCTGGAGCTTGCTAGACAATTCTAGCATGTTATTAAGTTGATGGAAAAAGCTAGAGAGTACTAGCTTCCTTGGTTGCAAATGGAAAGATCTAGAAGCTACAAGTATATGGCTAGTCTAGATTTTTCTATACTAGAGGTTTGAAGAAGGAACTAGAAACTAGTAGAATGCCAAGCCCTCACCTATAAATATGGGTGTGATGTAACCAATTGAGAACCAAGAGTGAGTAGCAAAGGATCAAGTCCAAAGCTAGAGTTCCACTCCAAGAGTGAGAGTGAGAGTGTTCCACTACACATTGTGTGAGTGAAGTTTAGAGTGATAGAAAGTTTGTGTTATACTTTCTTGTATCCATCAAGCCTTGTCTTTGGCTTGGTAAGACTACTCTTGTTGTATTCATCTTTTTCATATAGTGAAGATTGATCCTTGTTTGGTGGACGTAGGCATAAATTGCCGAACCACATAAATTCTTGGTGTCCATTTTCTACTTTACCTTGTGCATTCTCTATCTTGTAGTACCGACATTCCTAACAGGGCTGGCTAGCAAATAGTTGATGGGCTAAAGCTCAATTAGGTATCAAACAAAGAATTTTATTTTTTTCATATTTTGTTTTGGCCAAATTGCACCAATAATTCATGTGGCTTACTTGGATTTTCATTTCCTTGTTTTAATTTTGTCCTAACAGTTTCTCTATTTTTTCACTTTGGTCTACTCTGTCAACAAAGTTAATCGTTACATCCATTTTGTGCACATCGTCTCATTTAAAAAAATAAAGGCCAGTCGAAAGGAATTTTGCCTTATTTGATGGATTGGAGAACTAATGTTAGCAGAATAAAGCTGAGAGCACACCAACGAAGAAAAAAAAAAAAAAAAAAAAAGAAGCTACGTGAAGTGAAAATCTGAGAATTCAGGAAAACTAAAAGGGCTATTGGTGCAATTCAAACAATGTTTTTTTTCTTCTACTTTCATCTTCCTTCATTTTTCTTATCTTGAAAACTTTTTTTAAACCTTAACGGTATGAGAAGAATTTTATTAATAACGAAAAGGAAAATTACACCTAATATTAGGCAATTGCTTTTCTTTTCGACAAAAGTAGACATATTATTTGGTTACTTTGTTTTCTTCTGACCCATATTTCATATTTAGCTGCAGCCCCCCCCAAAAACAAAGACCATAATAATCATGAGCTGTCTGCTCAAACCCTCAAACGTGCATTGAGGTTAAACACATAATTATATTAACAAAGTTTTAATCTTACCGAAAGGAAAGATTAGAGACAAGCTTCCAGAGACTCTCAAAAGCAAACAATTTCAACTCTTAATTGTATTCTTGCTTAATTCTTCACTTTCTCTAATTGCATCGAACTAAATTTTAGCTACTACGAATAAAATTAACTAGCTGATAATCTATATTGATGGTATATTAATCTTTAGGCTCCAAGGTTTATACCTATAAACTGGCTTAAAACAGGATGAGCAAAAGGGGCCAGATCCGTAGATTCTTTACATGTGGACGCTACTCTTCATCTTTTATTTCAGAGTCAAGTCACGTAATAAGTGAAATAGATATGTCTAAGTTCTTCTTCGTTCGAGAAAACAAAAGTGTTACTCCAAAACACAGTAATTAACCATGATTGCCAGGCAAATTGATGTCCAGCTATGAATTAGGGTTTCTAGATGCAAACCATCCAATCGATCGATCGATCGAGGGTCCCAAATCCATTGCACGTGCACCATGCACAACGTAAAGGTCAGACAAACTAAATTGTTATCCTTTTCTGCCTCCCGTAGTTCTCTTGTGTTGCTTCTTATGAGGGGTCCGTACCTTTTATCTTCTCCTCAAACCCACTTAAAGCCGAAAAATGAGAATAATTTTTAGGTCGTGGAAAAAATGGGAATGATTGCTCAAAACAAATAGTTACAATTTTGGTCGGGTTTCAACTCCAAACATCCACATCAAAACCCTAAAGCAAACCCAACTTAATCAAGGATTTGAAACTCCTTGTTGCCTACATAAAGCTTTCAAAAGTGGTATAAAAATTTCAACTTAGTGTGTCTCTCGTTGCTTTTCCTTTAGGGAACCTATAGCCATTTTTTATACCCTCCAAGTCTTTCATTATGTGCTACTACTAACTAGTGTTTCCGTAGACAAAGAGGGTCACATGCATATATAGTGTAGGGAGTGTTGAAGAATGCAACTCCACATTGAAAACTTGACAGATAAATTACAATTGTATTGAATGTAGGGGTGGGCACGGTTTAGTTCGGTGCGGTTTTGAGTGAAACCGAAATTTTTTGTGGTTTGATTCGGTGCAGTTTTGAAGCCAAAACCGAAATGAAACCAAACCGTTTGGTTCAGTTTGGTGCAGTTTCAAACGGTTTCGGTTTGGTTTTTAAGAAAAAAATGTACAATTTGCAATTTAACATATTAATAAGCATTTCCCAGTAGCAATAGGAAAAAGACATTTGTTATATAAACAATGCATGCAATTGTGATGTTAAAACATGTTTGTGCAACAAAAGGATGTCCCGTACAAGGTATAACATAATACAAATTGAATAACTTTGAATTCATTAAACGTGAGCGAAACTTTCATACTAGAATATATGATACCATGCTTCAAATGAGTGAACTTCATTAGATCATTGTTCGACTCTTGATAACAAGATTAGTCCACCCTTGTACATATATGTGTGTGTGTGTGTGATGGTATAAAATAACAAAGGTCCTTCAAGTTAATGAACGAAAGAAATTGATGAATGATGATATTCTAGTGTGGTTGAGTCCATACTAAGTGCATGGATTCTAACAAACAACCAATTAATATGGACATTTAATTAAATGTTTATTAATATTTGTGGTGTGGTTCGGTTTCGGTACGGTTTTCAAAAGTTAAAACCGAAACCAAACCGTTTTCTATGTTGCGGTTTGGTTTCAAAACCGAAACTGTTCCAAAACCGCAAAACCAAACCGTTCGGTGCGGTTTGATTTGGTTCGTGTTTTGGTTTTGGTTTTCGGTTCTAAGTGCCCACCCCTAATTGAATGGTCATACTCTTAATTTCACACTATGATCTATAGAGATAAAATCAATATCTGTTGAGTTATGCAATGGTAAACTTAAGACTTATCGTAATTAGTAGTGAGTCGCTGTCTCTACTCTAAAATCTTGAGGTGGAGGGGTTGAATGTTGAATATTAATTTTACAAGATTGAGGAATGTTTGTCATTGAAAAGCCAACTACTCTGATCATATATTAGTTAGTGGGCCTTTAATTTGTTGTAATTAAGGAGGTTAGGTGAGCCCCTTTGCCTTGTTAAAATTATTATCCTTGTTAATTCATACTTTAGAAGAGACTTTAATGATGAATAGCACATATATTTTTTTTAGACTTGTTGTGTGTGGAAATCATGATAGATTTTGTTTTTGGATATCACTATATCTAAAGTGGTTCCATATTCAAATGTATGTGTTGATGCACAAAATCAGTAAGGACTTTGGTACAACAGAAATCCAACTGTGAATCTGCAAGAAAGTAAATAACACAAGATGTATCGTGGTTCACCCCAATGTTTGGGCTACGTCCACACTGATATTGTATTTCTCTGAGAGGGAGAGAGAACCTCTGAATAGGAGAGTGAGGCTTCTAAGGGTGGGGGATCAGACCTAAGAATTGGCCTCCTCCAAATTGTGAGGGTGAGGAGTTCATTTTATAGAATAATGGCTCCTAACTTGTTACATATTTGCCCATTCCTTTATTACATAATTACATTTAAGTCCCCTGAGTATTTATACGAGATCTAAATACAGAGGTCCTAAATATGGTATAAACAGCATGCATTTATCCATTGGTATTTTCGATCCAAAAAAACCAAATCCATTGCATTTATATATTTTACTTAAATATAGAAATGAATGATATGTTATCAATTTATTGTTGGTATGAACAAAGGAGTAGGATTCTCTCCTCTCAAAATCTCCTCCCCTCTTCTATCATCCTCTCTCACCTTCTTCTTTTTCTTTCTATAAAGAAATCGACACAAAATATTGACGTGATTTAATCGTGGCCGTTCGAATAAGAGAGAATTGAAGGAAAGGGAAAATTGGAGGGAAAAGAATCCTACTCCATAAACAAGAGTGATGAAATTAGCTGTGGAGGGGAAGATCTTCCTCATTACTTAGTCTCAACAAATCTATAGCTACTCTCTTAAAGGAAAGCTTCCATCAAGAAAAAAAGACAGAAAAATAGTTTACCAACTTTTAGAAAGGTCCAAAAAATGCCATGTGCATGCTTAATTTGAAACGAGTTCCTTGCTTTCCCGCTTTTTTTTGCAGAAAATAGTTTAAATCAGAATCTGAAAAATAGAGACATTGGATTCGGAATTCATTAATTTTTATATAAAGTTGCATTACACAAAAGGATTCGGAATTCATTAATTTGTATATAAAGTTGTATTACACAAAAGCCTTTTTGGAAAGGAGTGCTATATATATGTGTGCATATAAGGGAAGTGGAATCACAAGTCAAATACTTTTGATTAGAAAAGATAGAGAACAAAAAAATATGGTTGGCTTAGCCCCTATTTTATTTGCTCTCTTGCTAGGACTACCAATATTTGCTTATATTCTTGTGCAAATATTCTTTGTAGCACTACATGATCATAAAAACCCCGCTAAAAACTTGCCTCCTGGAAGCATGGGATGGCCCTTGTTTGGAGAGACCCTTGGCTTCCTTAAACCTCATTGTTCCAACACCCTCGGAAGCTTCTTGGAACAACATTGCTCTAGGTGATCCATCGTTAATTTAAGGGATTCTGAAATACTCAGTTTTTAGTATGTCGTCTATATCTAATCGTTATGCTTTGATATTTGATTTTGATCAGTGAAACAATTAGGATTTGATTTCTGACTATTTAGCCAATTTTTTCTTAATTTAATTACAACGTTCATTTCATTAAATATTATTCCACTACTTCAATTAATTTGACGCATATGGTTTGGATATATGTGCAGATATGGGAAGGTTTTTAAATCGAATCTATTTGGTTCACCAACCATAGTTTCATGCGACCTTGAGCTCAACGCGTTTATTCTCCAGAACGAAGAGAAGCTTTTCCAAGCCAGCTACCCCAAGCCCATCCATGGCATTCTTGGAAAGCATTCTTTGCTCACTGTCACCGGCGAGCTTCATAGAAAGCTTAGAAACATTGGTGTCAGCTTCATTGCCACCTCTAAGTCCTCGCCGGATTTCCTCCATTGGGTTCAGAAGCTGTCTATCTCAATGATGGAGTCGTGGAATGGCTGCGAACAAGTCTTCTTCTACAAACAAACTAAAGCGGTACGTATATAGACTAGTACTCTCTCATTTACCCTAATCTTTTTCTTTGATCTTCTTCTTCTTCTTCTAGTACACTCTTCTTATATACTTTACGAAATTTTCTGGTTTGACAAATTAACAGTTTACACTCCGTCTAATGGTGAACCACCTTCTGAGCGTTAAACCGGATGAGCCGCTAGCCTCGAGAATATTACAAGACTTTGAAACCTACATGACGGGCTTTGTGTCTTTGCCGTTAAACATTCTGGGAACCGCTTATGCCAGGGCTGTGAAGGTAATATTATATGTGTATAAATTTAGAGTAATAATATTATCAGACTATGAATTTAGACTATAATCCGACAAGAATTAATTAATAAGCATGATAAACAATGAGGATATTAGCATTTCGTATCATCTATATATAATATCATCTCTTTTCTTCAGGCTAGAGCAAGGCTTTCTTTCTCTGTTAAAGAGATTATGACAGAAAGAAGAAAAGGGAAAGCTAGTGGGCAGCTCAGAGGAGGAGAAGAAGACTTCTTAGACGTGATACTGTCGAAACAGAGTCTAACGGACGACGAAGAAATAGTGAGCATTGTGTTGGATATAATGCTCGGAGGCTACGAGACAACAGCGACCCTTATGTCATTGATTGTCTACTTTCTCGGCCATGCGCCAATTGCTTTTCACAAATTAAAGGTAAACCATAGCCGGCCCCTCCTCCTATAATTCTCTCCTTTTGTTTTCACAGAAATTTGTATGGTACGTATGGAGAACACAAATCACGTGATGCTCTATTTTATTTGTCAAAATAGGCGTTAACAATAAAGTTGATGTGTCTTTTGACAAAAAAAAAAGAGTTGATATGTCTTATTTTTAAAGTTTATTAATAAAAAACAAAATTTACGACTATAATTTGAGTAAAATGGTAACGTCAAGTGACCGTTTTCCTTTCTCTTTTTCTCGCTAGCTAATATACATGCATAAATCACTGTACGCCTAACATATAGCTCCTTTTTTGTTAAAAATCTATGCAGGAAGAACACCAAACGATAAGGGAAAACAAAAAGGATGGGGAATTGTTAAATTGGGAAGATTACAAGAAAATGGATTTTACTGACTATGTACGTAATTATAACTTATTTTTATTATCTTTAAAAGTTAGATGTGCTAATTAACTAATGTATATGTGGACACATACAAAATTTGATGAAATGATCTATGCAGGTTATATATGAAGGTATGAGGTGTGGGAATGTAGTCAAATTTGTGCACAGGAAAGCTCTTGTAGACGTCAAATTTAAAGGTTAATTAGTCAATTAATCCCATGGCATCATTATTAATGAATTCTCGTAACTTACATGATCGACGGCTTTGATTAAAATTGCTGCAGAATTCCTGATACCATCTGGATGGAAGGTTCTTCCAATTTTTACGGGGGCGCATATGGATCCAGATCTTCATGAGAATCCCACAGAGTTTGATCCTTGGAGATGGATTGTATGTAGCTTCTAATTTTGTTTTTAAATATGAAATTTCCATCTACCGGAAATGTAAAATGGGATGTAAATATGGTTTTTGTATCTCAAATTTGCATTTTTCCATTGGAGATGCTCTAAGAAAAAACACTCTACTCTAGCAAACTCGGCTAAGTCTAGATCCGCAAATCTTCACAATACTTGGGATGTATTTGATGACTTATATGCAGAATAATTTTAAAGAAATGAGCAAAAAGGTGACAGTGTTTGGTGGTGGATCAAGGCTTTGTCCGGGAGCTGAACTCGCTAAAGTAGTCATTTCATTCTTCCTTCATCATCTTATCCTTAGTTATAGGTAATTAAATCTTATTTCAGTTTAATTATATAATTCCAAACTTCCAGTTAATTAATATTTGATATTCAATTTTTACTGCATGAACCAGATGGAAAACAAAATCAGATGATTGCCCACTTGCTTACCCTTACGTGCAATTTCGGAGAGGTTTGTTATTAGAAATTGAACCAGCTGCTTCAGATCAACAAGAAAAGGAAAACAAATCGATATAATTCTGTAGAAAATGTGACGGCCAAAAAAGGCTGTGACTGATCGAGTTGTATTAGGTTGTGAAAAATCTTTTTATGTATTTTCTTACAATATTGAATTGGAATGTAGTTTAATTTTCTTTTGTATTTTACATGTAATTATACTCTGGTGTTCTATCTGTTTATGACATATTAGTTCTTAATTCCTAGGCAATCAATAATCACCCCGTCATGTTATCGAGTCAATCATTATGCCTCAGAAATGATATCAACTAATGATGTAGTTTTACGAATTCGTAAGGAGGACCACAAATCAACAAGGCTCCTCACTTAATTTACAAAATGGGGGAGAAACGTGTATCGTACGTAGTCTTACGATTTCATAACTAATAATGTTATGTAATTAAAATAAAAATGATAAATTCAAAAAAATTAGCTCAATGACTTTACATACATATATTTAATAAGAATATATAATGTAATAAAACTAATAATATATGAAATCAGAATCATAGAAATAAAACATACATATAAGTTTGTTCTTGAAGTGCATGAAAGTAAAGAGAAGTCCCTCTTTTGGATTGCTTGTGACTAGAGTTTTTTTTTGATGAATTATGACTAGCACTTACACTCAATTACTATGTCTGTCGGCATCATCGATTAGTGGCACGCTCGCGCACACATTTTTTTTTTTCAAGCCCTTCTCTTGGCACTGGGAGCAAAGACATATTCGGGCAAATACTTTGAGTTTATGAAGATTTTAAGATGGACTTACTATGTGCCAGCGTACTCATATATAGATATATATATATATATATATGCAGGCCCTTTATGCAAAGGGATCCCCATTTTTTTCAAAAAAATAGGGATTAGGTGTGGGGCTCACTTCACATCGAACTTCAACGATCCGAACCGTCTATTTTGTAAGTCTCAATTCATAGATCATTCTTGCAAAAATTCAATTTAATCCGAAACCATTTGCCTATTTAATTATCAAGATAAAATTTCATTGTTTCTTATATAACAAAGTATTCGTTCATTTCTTTGAACCCAATTAGATGTCACATTTCCGATTTGGCTAATATTTTGTAAGGATGATCTATGAGGTGCAACTTGAAAAATAGACGGTTCGGATCGTTAAAGTTCGATGTAATGTGGACCCCACAACTAATCCCCATTTTTATAAAAAAATGGGGATCCCTTTCCTTTAAGATTTCCTATATATATGTATATGTATATGTATATGTATATATGTATCTATTTTTGTATATGTATATATGTATCTATTTTTGTAAAGTTCATAACTAATTGTCTTTATTTGATAGCCAAAACTCTCTTCTGATATTTATATATAGTTCATATTCAGTAGGTTTCAAAGAAAATAGTAGAGACAGATAATATTTGGATTTGAAATTAAATATAAAAGGACAACACAGATTACCCTGTTTTAATTCCCACTTCATTTTCAGAAAAATAGTTAAATAAAGATCTGGAAAACAGATACTATTGGATTTGGGCACTAATTAATATGGTTTTAAATTATAAGACACAGGGCCTGAGTGAAATGAAGGTACTGCTATATATATGTGTGTGTGTGTGTGTCTGTGAAAGAGGGCGGACTCACAAGTCAAACAATATGGTTGTGCTATCCCCAATTTCATTACTTTCTCTCTTGCTAGGAATAGGATTACTTATATTTTCTTACATTCTTCTCAAAATCTTTGCAGCACATGAAAATCCAGCTAATAACTTACCTCTTGGAAGCATGGGATGGCCCTTGCTTGGGGGAGACCCTTGGCTTCCTTAAGCCTCATTCTTCGAACTCTGTCGGAACCTTCTTGCAACAACATTGCTCTAGGTGATCATCAATTAGGGAAAGTTTTAGCGATGCCCCCTGAACATAATAGTTGACTATTTCGATTTGTCTCGTGATCTTTCAATTTGGTTATGAGGCTCTCTAATCTGTTAAAGTGTGCCAATTTGTACATTATCTTTATATATGTCAATTTCCCATCAAGTCGTGAGGGTTGTCCTTTTCGATCCAAATGAGGAAAACTAACAAAAAACGTGATTAATTTGGCATTTGGGGGAAAATTGGCACGCTCTAGAACAAATTAGAATGTCATAAGTTCAAGGGCATTGCTAAAAGTTCCTTTCGTTCATTTATGTACAACTAATGCGTTTGGTTAATATAAACGATGAACTTTATCAGTTGCCTATATATATGTAGTTTCACTGATCATATGATCTACCCTCTTGGATATTTTTGCAGATATGGGAAGGTTTTCAAATCGCATCTATTTGGTTCACCAACCATAGTTTCCTGTCACCTTGAGCTCAACATGTTCATTCTTCAGAACGAGGACAAACTATTCCAAGCCAGCTACCCCAAGTCCCTTCACGGGATTGTTGGAAAACATTCGTTACTCACCGTCTCCGGCAACCTTCATAGAAAGTTAAGAAGTATTGCTGTCAGCTTCATCTCTGTGTCCAAGTCGTCCCCTGATTTCCTTGACTTGGTTCAGAAGCTGTCAATCTCAATGATGGAGTCATGGAATGGCTGCAAACAAGTCTCCTTCTTCGAACAAGCTAAAGCTGTATGTGCGAGTAGCTACAAGAGAAAACATTATCAATGGTCTCTGACATCAGTGGCACACGATGAGGTGTCACTCATCGTGTGCCACTGATAATCATGTACCGATGTACATTGATTATTAGGCATTGATAATACTTATAATTAGCCGCCTCATCCTGTGTCACCAAAAGTCCGTGGCTATTTGTGATTTTTTCTTGCAACACGCTCATTAACCTAATTCTTTTTCTTTCCCTCTTTAGATAATATACATTTTCAAGTTTGATATAATCTCTGCCTGCCTGCCTTTTGTGTTTCGACAAACAGTTTTCGCTCGGTCTTATGGTGAAGAACCTTCTGAGTGTTAAACCAGAAGAGCCTTTAGCCTCAAGGATTTTAGAAGACTTCGAAACCTTCATGACAGGCTTTGTTTCTCTCCCATTTAATATTCCTGGAACCGCTTATGCCAAGGCTGTCAAGGTAATTACAAAACGTGTGTGTATATATATATATATATATATATATATTACATATTTTGTGTATACATATATAGGATGTTCTTCTGTCAAATTTACGTTGCAGACTTATTTTGTCATACCGTGAATTTAAATCATGAATTCAAAAGAAAACAAAAATGATCGAGGGTTTAGATTCGTAAATTGACAACATAAACATCTCATGCTATGTACTCTAATTAATTAATTAAAGGTGGATGGCACTAAGATCTTCATATCATGCACCTCTTCTATTCAGGCTAGAGCAAGGCTTTCTTCCACTGTTAGAGAGATCATGGAAGAGAGAAGAAAAGGGAACATCAGTAGCAATGGAGGGCTGCTTAGAGAAAGAGAAGAAGAAGACTTCTTAAACGTTATACTGTCGAAACAAAACCTAACCGACGAAGAAATAGTGAGCATTGTATTGGATATCATGCTAGGAGGCTACGAGACTACCGCTACTCTTATGTCGTTGATTGTCTACTTTCTTGGCCATGCGCCACTTGCTTTCCACAAATTAAAGGTAACTGTAACCCTATCTCTAATACTCTACCTCTCTACTTGCATATATACCTTTCTTAGCCATGCGCCTTAACATTTCTTGTCCGAAATCTCTGCAGGAAGAACACCAAACGATAAGGGAAAATAAAAGGGATGGAGAGTTCTTAACTTGGGAAGATTACAAGAAAATGAACTTTACCAACTATGTAAGTACATCATATATAATTTTTTCAAGTCATGATATATTCTGCCGTCAGCTAGTTATGATTAATTACTTAATTAAATATGGATATGTGAACAAATCAAGGGTTTATGATATGCAGGTTATATATGAAGCTATGAGATGTGGGAATGTAGTCAAATTTGTGCACAGGAAAGCTCTCGTAGACATCAAATTAGAAGGTTATTTAGGCTTCCTATTGCTTAATTAATCCCATATAACATCATTATTAATGTATTGTGTTAATAAACAGATTGTGGCGCAGAATTCGTCATACCATCAGGATGGAAGGTTCTTCCAATCTTCACCGGGGCGCATTTGGATCCCGATCTTCATGAGAATGCAACAGAGTTTGATCCTTGGAGATGGACTGTATGTTTTGTGTATAGTATATAGATTCTTCTGATATATAATGAACATATATAATGTATATGGCATGCACATAATATGCAGGACAATTATAAAGAAATGAACAAAAAGATTATAGCGTTTGGTGGTGGAGTAAAGCTTTGTCCGGGATCTGAAGTTGCAAAAGTAGTGATTGCATTCTTCCTTCATCATCTTGTCCTTAGTTATAGGTAATTACTTACTTATTAATTACTCAAGTTAATTAATTGTGTTAATATAATTTCCTAATCAATCCATATATTTTTAACTAATTCCAATTAATATTTGAGATTCAATTTCTCTACTGTATGAATTACCAGATGGAAAACAAAACCAGATGAATGCCCACTTGCTTACCCTTATGTGCAATTCAGGAGAGGTTTGCTGTTAGAGATTGAACCAGCTGCTGCAGCTTATCAAATCCATTAGGGTTTCATTGACTTTGAGAAGAAAATGATCATATGGTATAAAATGATCATTTTCTTTTGAAGGATATAATTATGTAATTTCATTTGATAATCAATAAGAATTAAGGAAAACTAATGAAAAAGGCTTGAAAATTTTGAGCTTTAATGATAAGAACAAAATAAAGGGTAAAGTGAATAATACTAGATTTGACTTTCTAGTGTAAAAATATGGTTTTTCGTTAAAATGAACAGTACTGCGGGCTTTTCGTTAAAACTCCCTAAGAATTAAAGTTTCTTTTTTTCTTTGGGTACAAATTTAATATACATTACACAAGTGATGTACACATTTTGCATAATTCTTTCATCTATATATATAAAGGAAGCACACCAAAATGATTAAGCTTTCACCATTCTCAAAATACCCCTTCCCAATTAGGATTCTAAAATAAAACAATTTAATTTAAAAAATTCTAAATAAAGAATAAAGAATAAGATGTAAAAGATCAAATTGCCACACACACGCAATTTTAACATAATACTAAAGGAAGATGGTGGTAACTGCTTTAGTACAAATAAAATGTCTATGTATATTGACCAAAATATAATGTCAATGTATGGCCAGTAAATATTGTACGATTGGTCTTAGTTTAGTGGTATTTTATTTCCAATGTGGAAAAAGACTTCTGAATTCCCTTCCCTTAATGGAAAAGATATCTAAAGGATCGTTATGAAGTTACTGAATATTCAAGGAGAAGAATGCTATGACGCTAGAGGCACGACTAGGTGAGGATCGGTAGCATGGTCTTAATCTTTCCCTATTTCAATTTATTTATTATTTATTGCTTTTATTTATTAATTTACTTTTTTCGTTTGGTTTTTTCTTCATATGTTACTTTATTTGAGTAATTACTGGTAAATTCAAATATCTTCAAATTTAAATTTTATAGTGATTTCAAGTTTTTAAACATGAATGATAATAGATTTTGCACATAAAATATGTTTGAAGAACATGAAGATGATAGTTTGTTGTTACGACGTCTATGTATATTGACCAAAGTATAATGTCTATGCATAGCCAGTAAATATTTTACGTTACATCTTAATTTAGTGGTATTTTTCTTTCCAATGTGGAAAAGATATCTGAGTTCCACTCCCTTAATGGTAAATTGAAGCAAAGAGCATGAAATATTTTAATGGGCGTTACATATGTTATTTTAGAAATACTTTCAAAAAATTAAAAACGCTTTTAAAGAAACATGTTCATGATTTTGTTTTGTGTTCTCTATTTTGTAAACTGCATTTTCTTTTGCCTTGCCAAATGCCATTTCAAAATGCAGAGTAGTATCTCACACAAGGTAGTGTCATGGTAATCATTATTATTTTTTGGCTGTTAGATTCTTTCATCTTTTGGTTCATCATTCATCAATGAAAATTACAATACAAATGCCTTTTTAAACTAATATAAACTGCAAAAGAACTCCAACTGGAATGGATAGGCACGCAATTGGTTGAAATATTTTTTTTATCGAATTTTCAACTAATTATATTATTACACTTATTATACCGATGTGTATTTCTGGCACATGTCGTGGACTGGCTAACGACATGTGGCCTAATGGGCTACCGTGAAGTACCCTCTGCTGGGCGGCATCACGAAAAAGGCCCAAAATTTATCACAACTTGCCGGACAAGTCTACCCCCACCTCACTCTCTCTCTCGTTTCGTGCCAATTTACAGTCCCAGTTCTTCTCCCACATAAACCCTTCGGATTTGAACACCCAATTTTCTTCCCCAAATCGATTTGCATCTCTGCAGATCAAGCATCAGCATCCGAGCGCATACAGTAAGTAAAATTTTAAGTTTAGGGTTTATATTTTTGTTAAATTGTTGCCCCTTTATTTTTCTGTATATCGAAGAAGATTAGAGCTTTTTTTTAAAATTCATATGTTATTTAATCGAGCGAAGAAGATCTGATTCTGTGAGGTATGTTTTGATGTGGGTGTGATGCTTGAAGGGGGGGTTTGTTGAAAAAGTTTGGGGATTGTGTTTGTGATGTTGCCTGCAATCTGTTTGATTAAATCCGCGAGAGAAAGTGTTATGATTTGATTAGTTTGTGAATCGTAAAGGCGTTTTTTGGTTTGATTCTGCATTTGGGTAGGATTTGATTGTGAAAATTATGGGCTTTCTGTGATTTTATGAGTTGTTTGTTGGTCATTATCTTATGGTGTTGGTCCATGTACTACATAGATTTGGTTCTCAATAGTTCACAAAGTTAGGTATTGGGTTGTTCTAGAATCATAACATTGTATTAGACGCGTTTCTGTAGCCTTGTTTCTCTCTTTGGATCACATCGTTACGTAGTTAATGCAAGAGCTTTTCTGGAATTAGAGTCCTTTTTTTTTTTTTTTGGCCTTATTGTCTTGTGTTAAATTCTAAGTTCTGGTAACGCGTTCTATGTATATACTTTTTTCCATGAAATAGTTTGTGACTGGCTTTAGGGTTTGAAAGAACAGTTCTTTACTAAATTATATGGGTAAATACATGTTAAGGAGAATTATAGAAACCAAAATTGTAGGGTAGTTTTAGAGTGAATTTTGATGTGGATATTGATTCTGCAGGTGTGATTGAAACTAAAAAAATAAAACAAAAGATGTCTCAGGTAGCGGCAGATGTTCCCAAGGGTGGGTTCAGTTTTGATCTTTGTCGAAGAAACGACATGCTTGCAAAGAATGGAGTTCAGCAGCCATCTTATAGGAAGACGGGAACCACCATTGTTGGTTTGATTTTTAAGGTACAACTGCTTTCCACTGTTTAATTAGAAATTGTGCCACTCAAATATAGGTTAAATTTTGATGATTCCCTTCTAATTCATTCTTCAGGATGGTGTCATTCTTGGAGCTGATACAAGGGCAACTGAAGGACCCATTGTGTGTGATAAGAACTGTGAAAAGATCCATTATATGGCACCCAATATCTATTGCTGTGGAGCTGGAACTGCTGCTGATACAGAGGCTGTAACAGGTAAGTCAGGATTGTTTTTTACATTGGTAATGCTTGTGGCTGTCTGTGTAGTAGCAGCTCATTTTGGTGCTCTGTTGAATGTGCATCGCTAGATATGGTGAGCTCACAGCTGCAACTGCATCGCTACCATACTGGTCGTGAATCTCGGGTTGTGACAGCCTTGACCTTGCTCAAGAAACACCTTTTCAAGTACAATGTTATCACTTCTCAGTTTAGAAATTGCAGGATTAACTTATATTCCTCAAATTTAAGCACAGTTTGATATTAACTCCCATCTTTATTATCCAGTTACCAAGGTCATGTGTCAGCTGCTTTGGTGCTCGGGGGTGTTGATGTCACTGGACCCCATCTGCATACTGTAAGTTATTTCTTGTTTCAGACTTTTAGATTTGACAATGGTTCCCTTTTTGGGATTGCATAATGATATGATGCCAACTCCAATGCTTCAAATTGCAGATATATCCCCATGGATCAACTGACACACTGCCATTTGCTACAATGGGTTCTGGTTCTCTTGCCGCGATGGCCATGTTTGAGTCCAAGTACAAAGAAGGCATGACTGTAAGTTAGCATCATACGAATTGAAATTTATCTTCATTGAATGGTACTATCCATGGATACAGATACTTGACTACCTTCATTCGTATTCGATTATACAATTAGTATTGAGTCAGTGACATCCCCATTTGAATTTCTGGTTAATGTTTTTACTTTGATGCAGAGGGATGAAGGCATAAAGCTTGTAACTGAAGCAATATGCTCTGGAATTTTCAATGACTTGGGAAGTGGAAGCAATGTTGATGTTTGTGTAATAACTAAGGTTGGTTGCTTCTCATCACATTTCACCATTTTCAAAGGGAAAAGCAGAGGGTATGAATTTCGTATTATTTGTGCATTTTTGTTGGCTCAGGGACACAAGGAATACTTGAGGAACCACTTGGTGCCGACCCCTCGTACCTATGTCAGTGCCGAAGGCTATAAGTTTACCAAGAAGACCGGTAAGAAACACACTTCTTTCACTTGGCTTTCTAATCATTCAACCACAAATTGACGCTCAGCCTTACGCCATGCTTGTGTTGCATATCATAAACTTAGGCATCATTAATCTTTTCTTTCATATATGAAAAATTCATCCCTCTCCATGAGCAGTGCACGCATGTACAGATAACTAGGTTTAGTCAAAACTGCAAATCAAGTGAGTGAAACGTTTTCTGAATCTGTTGTGTTTTCTTTTGTTGCAGAGGTTCTCTTCACAAAGATCACTCCATTGACTAAGAAGGCAGAAGTGATTGAAGGAGGCGATGCAATGGAAGAGTGAAACCACCACTTCGCAAGGATCGTGCGATTGTTCATGTCGTAATTCAGTTTCCAGTGTAAAACCTCAGCGACTTCATCCCAACTTGTTATGTTTTTCCCCATCCATTGGGATTGATCTTGAAATACATCGCAATCACTTTTGTGAACTTGTTAAGAATTATTAGCGTTATCCAGACTTTTAGGTTGGTCTTTAACAGATATTATAACTTTCCGTATTTTGCAAATTATTAGATAACGTGCTTTTGGCTGAATCTTTGAGGATAAGAATGCTAGCAATCTTTTCGTTTGGATCTTACTTGTTCTACATTATCATCTCTTTTTACGACCCTACAAGGCTTCTTGATAATCCGAACCGATAAAAAAGCCGGTATGGGAGGGTAGCACTGGTCATATAATTAGGACTCATAATGTCTTGTACTATCTTTTAACTCGACATGAAACGACATAAAAATAACAGATTTTGAATTAAACTGTTGATGAGTTGGATTTTTTATTGAGTTATTAGTGAAAAATTCGCTAACGAGTCAGGTCGTTATCGAGTTACTTGTTAAAAACCTGATAATATATCGTTTGCCAGAGTTAGACATTAGGTATGATAATTTCTTGCATGACACGTTACAATTTAAGAATCAGGTCATTATAACGTCAACTGCTGAGAAATCGTTAAGATAATAAGTTTGATACGACATAATCCATTAAAATAACTAGTATGATACAAAACGACACGAATACGATAAACACGACCTGGTCGGGCTTAAGAATACTAGAATAAGTCAACTTATTAATTAATTAAGAATCTAGTCATTTGAGGTATATCCAATTTCTTACGAATCCAGATGTCGGTGATTTAGTAGAAACTTATTAATAAAATAATAAATAACAAATAAAAATAATAGAGAAGAGAACAAAACAGTAATCAGGCGGGCAAAAACCAGAAAATACCGAACCAGCAAAAAGGCAAAGACAGCGAGGAGAAGAGAACTGTCCCCCTCCTTCTTCCCCGTTCTCCCTCCGATACGACGTCGCACTAAACCATGTCTTACGACTACCTCTTCAAGTACATCATCATCGGCGACACAGGTCTCAATTCCTCCAACCCATAGCTTTCTGATTTTTCCTGATTTTTTTTGTTTGTTTTGTTTGAGAATTGAGGTTTTAGAGCAATTGGATTTTGGGTTTTTGGTTTGGATTTGAAGGTGTCGGAAAATCTTGCTTGCTGTTGCAATTCACGGATAAGAGGTTCCAGCCTGTGCATGATCTTACCATCGGTGTCGAGTTCGGAGCTCGAATGGTCACCATCGATGGTCGTCCTATCAAGCTCCAGATTTGGGACACCGTAAGTTACATGTACTTCCCGTCTTGTTTTCTGTTTGGCTACTGAGAAAATAGAGTTTTCGTGGTGAATTGGGTTTATGGTTTTGTACCAATCTGAATTTGCCGTTCTGTAAATTTTACTTGTATGTGCCTGTAACTTGACGACAACATATCGAAGTTTTAGAATTTTCGATTGACCCGGTCTTATTCGGGTTTGCAATGATGAAAAAGTTTCATCTTCTTACTGCTAAAGGTAGACATGGCACAAAACCGAGCGTTCAAGATTCGTACAGCCAACCCCACTTAGTGGGATAAAGATTGGTTGTTGTTGTTGTTGTTTGTGGCTTGTTGGGTAGGCATAAGACTGATTCTTTATGTATGCTATTGGTATTTAGTTTTCTTTTGCGCATTGTGTAGGTTTTAGTATCTTATGAAATTGTATATGCTAAGACGCCTTCGAAAGGTTGCACCTTATGTATTTAATTCCAGTATTCGTTGCTGTTTCTTATGAGTACTGTGAATATTCCTTAACTTCTTAAGCAAGGATCGTCGGTTTTGCATTTCAGGCTGGGCAAGAATCTTTCAGATCGATCACTAGGTCTTACTACAGAGGAGCAGCCGGAGCGCTTCTGGTCTATGACATAACTAGGTGGGTGGGTGTGCGTTTTGTCTGTTTTTCAACTTTGTGAAGCTCTTTTTGTGTCTGGTCCAAGTGGATATTACGTCGAAGATGCACATGAATCACATACTGAACTTACAATTCTTCTGAGATATATGCCTAATATGTTGCATTGCATTGCATCTCTCTATTTAACATTCTGCGTAAATCTCTGCAGTTTTCATTTTATTTTAGGCTTCATGTTGCGAAAATTAAAAAGGGGCTACTGTACACGTCTTGTGGTATATATTTGCAAGTTTTTCCAATTGACAAATCCTTTTAAATGCTCTTTTGGCCCCAGTATTCCTCCTTTTTATGGAAGGGATCGGCATTTTTATAGCCGTTGTATCCGGTTCTGATTAACGGAGCCCTATTGAGACATATGCCTGTTTTCCCCAATTCAACCAGAGATAGGAAGTGATTAAAGTTGTTTTGTTTCCCAGGAGGGAGACATTTAATCATCTTGCGAGCTGGCTGGAGGATGCCCGGCAGCATGCAAATCCTAACATGACGATCATGCTCATAGGGAACAAGTGTGATCTGTCGCACCGAAGAGCTGTCAGCAAAGAGGAAGGAGAGCAATTTGCAAAGGAGAATGGGCTTTTATTCTTGGAGGCATCTGCAAGGACGGCACAAAACGTGGAGGAGGTGATGTTACTCAACCAGTTCAAACCTCTACTCTATTTCAATTTACAATGTTTAAACTCATTGGGTAACATACTTTTCAGGCCTTCATAAAGACTGCTGCAAAGATTCTTCAGAATATTCAGGAAGGCGTATTCGACGTATCTAATGAGGTAAACGTTGAGTCATTTATTATGGGAAACGTTAGCTACTAGAATTGTGATGCAGCGCATGAACTTTCCTTCAAGTCTGCTTGAATTACTTGATCTCGTTAACCATAACTTACTGGATTATCCGATCGTATAAACTTCGACCTTGTAGCTTCTCTCTGAAGAATGAAAATGAATGTTTTTGTGATGTTTGCAGTCATCTGGCATCAAGGTCGGATATGGCCGGCCCCAGGGTCAATCAGGCTCAGGCGGAACGGTTGCTCAGAGGGGCGGATGTTGCAGCTGATTAGAACAGAAATCGACTCTCTATTCTCTCCGTCTGCGCAAATCATCTGTGCTTTGGACATACTCTCTCAACGGTCATGCTGCTACTTTTTGAAAAAACATTGAATGTATAGAGTTCTTGGATAGATTTCTTTTTCTTTTCAGGATTTCACCGTTTTAAATGCTGAAATATTTCTCAACAGTGTGATTTGTTTGACCAGTTAACAAAGCTCAATTGAAAAGTAATTAATCAGATAAGTAAATACAGATGCAAGTATTTTTCGCACGGTTTCTACGATGCGATTTTGTGATCCGGTCGAAACCAAATGGAGATGGCAGTTTGCCCTGATCACTGAAAACTAGAACAATACCACTCAAAGCACAAACACAAGATTCAACTCCAAATGATGTCCTGCGCTTTTACGGCTCTTCCGGTTGAGGCATGCCAATCCATGAGAATTTTGTGCACTAAGAACCACCAAATACCTGCAAACAGATCGCGAAATAACATAGAGTAGTCAAACAACAGATAACTTATACGCGCAACAGCAAGGAGTAAGTAACGGATCAAGAAATAGCATACGGTAGACAACCAATAAAACGATGCTTACCGCTGACAGTACATCTCCAGAAAGACGAGGTTTGGTTTTTGCAGCATTATTTGCAACAGGTTTCTTCTGTCGGAACCGGCGAATTACCTGATGTTCCGGTTGGCTATCAGAGAGATCCGGATTGCTCCCTGAATATTCTTCGACCCTTTGCCTTTGCCTCTGTTAGAGAAGATGAAACAGGTTGTGTAAAGCGACTTATTATATAGTCTAGCTAGGGAAGGGAAGGCAAAACGACGTCAATAGAAATTCGAGACAGCTGCACTAAAACATATTCCTTGCCCTACTTTTTCTGTAAAGTGAACACTCTTCATAGAATACACGAAAACTACCTTCTTCAATCTTTCATCTATGGCACTCAGAGCACGGGACTTCTCAACTTTAGTGAGATAGAAATCACGCTCCTTCTTAGCAGCAGAAATTTCTAAAGCTAGTTTTTGCTCCCGAGTGGCTTTCTTGTAAGCTGCAATCAAACATTGCCGAATCAAGAAACAAGTAACAATAACGAAGCACAATGACAGGAAGCAACAAAAACACAATCGTTAAGAGTCCGCACCAATCTCTTCGGTAAGATTATCCCACTTGAATTTACTCAAATACTTGATATTCCAAAGATCATAGTAGAAAGATGACCTCTTCTTCCCACCTAAACACAACCGAACCAGCAGGTGGTATAAATTTTGTATCGAAGAAATACAACCGGAATGCAATGCATCCATAAACGCATGCTGCAACAAGTAAAATCCTCTAAGAAAAATACTTAATTTTACATAATTACCTATCTGTTCACCATTTAACATATTAGCAACTCTCTCAGCAACCCTTTTGTCAGAAAATTCAACCCACCTGCATTTGCAATATTTTACGACATACCCTTCCGAAAAGCCAAACTCTTTCGATAAGATTAACGATTTAATGCTTTTTAAGACATACCCTTCTGAAAAATTTTGCCTCTGAAATTTACCAGCTTTGATTTGAACATGACCAGAAGAATCTTGAGGTGCAAGATAAAGCCTTTGTATCTCTCCGTACTGGGAGAGCATCTGACGAAGCGTCGACGGATCCATGCGCGGCGGAATCCGACCCAAATAGCAAACCCCTCGCTGCTTCTCATCCTTCCCACCTTCCTTCATCGATTTCTTCCTTTTGTTCTCTCTCTCGATTTCCATTCCCAATGTACAGCCCCAACTTCAATTTGAAAGATCTGGAGCAGAGAGGCTGCAGTCGCACCAAGTTAGCAGGGGTAAAACAGGACGACGACCAGGCAGGAAGAAATCGGGAGGAACGAGATGAGTGCGGGGCTTAGGGTTTAGGGAGGAAAGAGACGAGTGCGGGAGGGAAGGGATGAGTGCGGGGCTTATTTGTCCGTGTAAAAACGTAATAATGCAAACTTAACAGGGGTAAAACAGGAAGAACACATGAACAGTGTTTCAGAGTGTTTTGGGTTTTAGTGTACATTAAATTTGTAGTTTTTAGGGTAAGAATATGGAGTTGAGACCCAAAATAAGCTAACCATAATATTTTGACATCAAACTCGTCTTTATAAAAATCGAACTTGATGGATTTTACTTATAAATAAAGAAAAATAAATCTAATCCGAGAATACCTTTAAAGAAAAAGGATCATCGCCAGATCTTTTTCTCAGGGATCCAAGAATCGTATCCATTCATTGTACATTGTGTGATCAATTTTCGTTAAGTACTATTTATATTTAAATTTTAAATTTTAAACTTTAAATGATTTCTAACCGAACGATGTATAATAAATGAACACGATTATTAGATTCCTAGAATCGTGAAAAGGATCCTCAGGATCCTTTTCTACCTTCATATTCTGGTGCCAAATGGCAAGGTTTCAGCTCAATTATTACTAGTCAATTTCCCATTCACGGGCAATAAGTAAACTTGCAGGAAGAAAAAAAATTCATTATTCACAACATCCTTGACGCATCCAGAAAAAATTAACTAAACTTAGATCATTGTTTTGGTAAACAAATAAACTTCAAAATGATATGCCCAATGTAACCCGGAGCACATGCCGTATGGTATCCCGAGCCTCCGATACCAGGACAAAACGATGTCTCATTTCCTTTGAAGTAGCAATAATCTCACTACAAGTAGAAGTCCATGAAATAGCTCCTCCTCGGAGCAACTTTCGTCATTGTTTATCTAATAGCTCGTCCAGGCCCCCTTCTGGCGCGAAGGTCATTGTATGTCCTCGTAACATGTTGCAGTCGTGGATCATCTTCAGGAATCTCACGTTTCTAGCATTTCAGAAACAGAAATGAAGGAAACAGTTGTCAAAAACCACAAAGATGACGCACTGAGTCCGATTATTAGGACTTACATTAATGCATCGTAAGGCCAGAGACTCACTTTTAATCCCTGGTAATATGCTTCTACGGAAAGGAATTGAGGAACTATTTTACTCGCTTCCATCAGGTCCTAGATATAGTTGGCAACACTATAACCTCCAGTCTGCAGAAAAAAGCACAAAAGATTTGTAGTAAGACAATCGAAACTAACATAAAATGCATAGACCCAGGACAGGTGAAAAATTCTCTCAATTCTTTATGGCAATATAGCAACTAGAGATAACTCTTGCGCACCTCGTCACCAGCAGCTTGAAGGAGAAGATCACTCCCCATTTTTGGACTTAAGGAAAAGCTCCGGGAATTCATATTCACCTGCATTGGAACATGAAAACCTTAAAATGATTTTGACTAAGGCCATGATTTGAAATATCAAAAACTTGATTTAAGAATTACAAGCTGCAATAGACCAACCATACCAGTGTTTCTTCAGCAATTTTCATTCCCTTGGGAGCATATCCAATCATGGCTCCCTCCACAAGCGTCTACAGAAACATAGTTCAGCGTAAATTAGGGTATGCATCTGAATGATAAAAAGACTAATAACACATTAAGTGAAAAAAAATATTATCATTTTGTTCGGCAGAGATGCTAAAACAAAGCATCAGGATACAATACGTTATAATAAGAAAAGATTAAGAACAAACAACTAGCCAGCCACATATTTCAACGTTACATATTACTTAAATAGGACAAACTGAACCAATTATACTTGTTCCTGGCACAATTATGTTTTGGATTTTAAACAAAAACATGAGAAAAACTGATAAAAATGGTTTCTACATAAGCTAGTCAATGAAGCAATAAAGTGATAATTCAGATTCTCTTAAACCAAGAACATTATTCTCACTTTTGAGTTTTGTCTACAACACAAAATCAAAGGACCAGTGTACATATATGAAAAGAAAGTGATGTTTCATGACAAAAGAATTGTGTTTGTTGCCTAACTCACCGTATATAGTTCTACTACAGGAGGCTTTCCTGACTTCATATAGTCTTCAAAAGTTTGAACACCATGGTCAATGTCCCCTAAGTGTAGATAACACCTGAATAAAAAAAAAATAGCAGTGAGGACAAACGGACACAACAGAATGAATTGAGGTTATATTAACGCACAAGCAAGACAATACATGTAGTGCATTTAATAAAAGGTTACTTACCTCATTATTTGCAACACAATAAACAGATCGGGACTTTTTCCTTCCTTCGCTAGCATCTCTTGAAGAGCTTCCATCACCTACTGCCAGAAATTTGCTTGGAACGGAACCGGAGCGTTGTACACCGATTTTGGAGGCTTATGTGATTTCAGAGTCTCCATCTAACTCAGAGACGAAGAGCAATGAGAAGAGAGTGGTTCTTGAGTCTCCATCTACCTTGGCTGATCGTATATTGAATTCTTATAAACCAAATGTTTCCAAAGAGTTTAGTCCCATAACATATAATCTTGAAGATATGAATTGTATCAGAATAAATTTTGATGACTTTAACCTCGGCACCACTTCGTTTCCAACTCTAAAAGAGGTCTTTCCAGAAACGTACATCAACTATCTTAAGGCAACCCATATTCCTTCTGATCGCTTAATACGACTAATCCATGTGCAATTTGTCTGTCCTATAACAAAGAAGAGTTGAAGGAGTGCAAATTTGTCCTGCCAAGATGCGAAGATAAAGACCATGTATACATTCCTGAGATTGATCGAATTGTGTTGCGTCTACATAAACAAGAGTGCAGGTTCAACGTTTTGTCTCAACAATCCAGTTTTCTGGGGACTTTTGAGGTTCCTACGCATAGTGGTTGATCTCTTGATGACTGATTCTTTCCTTACAAAGCACGGCTTATTTTATCAAGCTCCACTGTTGTTCAGTAAACAAAGAGTTTCAGATAACTTAATTGAAGATGTGTCTTATATGTTAGAATGCAACCGCGAAAGTCTCTATATTACTGCTGCAAAGACTGGTCAGGTGATTGGTGATTTATGGTTTGATGAAGTTGATGACAATGAAGTCTGTTGTGATCGTGGAATTCAAATTCCAGATGATGTAGAACACATAAAAAATACAAGGACTCAAAAGGCCAAGTTTATTTTGTTAGTGGAGAAGGATTCCGTTTTCGATATTTTGAAGAAGGTAAAATTTTGCAACAATGTTGACTGTATTGTTATACCGGGGAAGGACAACTGTCAGTTAATAACCCTTAAAAACAATCTTGTATTAACCAACGGTTGTCCTTCTCCGGTAATAACAATACAGTCAACATTTTGCAAAATTTTACCTTCTTCAAAATATCGAAAACGGAATACTTCTCCACTAACAAACTAAACTTGGCCTTTTGAGTCCTTGTATTTTTTATGTGTTCGACATCATCTGGAATTTGAATTACACGATCAGAACCTACTTCATTGTTATCAGCTTCATCAAACCATAAATCACCAATCACCTAACCAGTCTTTGCAGCAGTAATATAAAGACTTTTGCAGCTGCATTCTAGCATACAAGACACATCTTCAATTAAGTTATCTGAAACTCTTTGTTTGCCTAACAACAATGGAGCTTAATAAAATAAGGCGCACTTTGTAAGAAAAGAATCAGTCATCAAGAGATTAACCACTACACGTAGAACCTCAAAGGTCTCTAGAAAACTTGATTGTTGAGACAAAACGTTGAACCTGTGCTCTTGTTTATGTAGACGCAACACAATCGATCAATCTCAGGAATGTATACATAGTCTTTATCTTCGCATCTTGGCTGGACAAATTTGCACTCCTCCAACCCCCTTTTTGTTATAGGACAGACAAATTCCAATTAGTTTATCATGGATTAGCCGTATTAAGCGATCAGAAGGAATATGGATTACCTCAAGATAGTTGATGTACGTTTCTAGAAAGACCTCTTTTAGAGTTGGAAACGAAGTGGTGCCGAGATTGAAGTCATCAAAATTTCTTCTGATACAATTCATATCTTCAGGATTATATGTTATGGACTAAACTCCTCGGAAACATTTGGTTTATAAGAATTTAATATACGATCAGCCAAGGTAGATGGAGACTTCAGAACCAATCTCTTCTCATTGCTCTTCGTCTCCGAGCTAGACAAAGACTCTGAAATCACAGAAGCCACCAAAAATCGTTGTACAAAGCTCTGAATCCGGTTCCATTCCAAACAAATTTCTGGCAATAGGAGAATTGCAACACAATAAAACGATGCTTACCGCTGACAGTACATCTCCAGAAAGCCGAGATTTGGTTTTTGCAGCATTATTTGCAACAGGTTTCTTCTGACAGAACCGGTGAATTACCTGATGTTCCAGCTGGCTATCAGATAGATCCGGATTGCTCCCTGAATCTTCTTCGGCCCTTTGCCTCTGTTAGAGAAGATCAGGTTGTGTAAGGGGACTTATTATATAGTCCAGCTATGGAGAGGAGGGCAAAACGATGTCAATAGAAATTCGAGACAGCTGCACTAAAACATATTCCTCGCCTACTTTTTCTGTCAAGTGAACACTCTTCAAATAATACACAAAAACTACCTTCTTCAATCTTTCATCTATGGCACTCAAAGCACGGGACTTCTCAACTTTAGTGAGATAGAATCACGCTCCTTAGCAGCAGAAATTTCTAAAGCTAGTTTTTGCTCCCGAGTGGCTTCTTGTAAGCTGTAATCAAACATTGCCGAATCAAGAAACAAGTAACAATAACGAAGCACAATAACAAGAAGCAACAAAATCCCAATCGTTAAGAGTTTGCACCAATCTCTTCAGTAAGATTATCCCACTTGAATTTACTCAAGTACTTGATATTCCAAAGATCATAGTAGAAAGACGACCTCTTCTTCCCACCTAAACACAACCGAACAACAAGCAAGCGGTATAAATTTTGTATCGAATAAACACAACCGGAATGCAATGCATCCACAAACGCAAGCTGCAACAAATAAAATCCTCTAAGAAAAATATTTTAATTTGACATAGTTACCTATCTGTTCACCATTTAACATATTAGCAACTCTCTTAGCAACCCTTTTGTCAGAAAATTCAACCCACCTGCATTTGCGATAATTAGCGATTTTCCGACATACCCTCCCGGAAAACCAAACTCTTTCGATAAAGATTAACGATTTAATGCTTCTTTTTGCCTCTGAAATTTACAGCTTTGATTTGAACATGACCAGAAGAATGTGTAAGATAAAACCTCTGTATCTCTCCGTACTGAGAGAGCATCTGACGAAGCGTCGACGGATCCATGCGCGGCGGAATCCGACCCAAATAGCAAACCCCTCGCTGCTTCTCATCCTTCCGGCCTTCCTCCATCGATTTCTTCCCTTTGTTATTTCTCTCCATTTCCATTCCCAACCTCCAGCCCCAATTCTATTCCCTTAAACCCTAAAACGCTGAATTCAAAGCTGAAAAAAATAAAATAATCCAAAACATGGAAAATTAATAAGAAAATCAAAGGATATCGAACTGAGATTTTCTGGATTAATAATTATGTATTAAAAATAAAGGTTAAATGTTTATGATTATAGGGTTCGTAGATTACCAGAAGAAGAGTGCGGCGATTCGACGGCGGTGAAGCTATTGCTCTGCTTCCTTAGGGTGGTTCGGTACGGGATCCCAAACTGAAAATAGGATTCCAAATCCCAAATCAAAAATTTTTGGAATGAGAATTTGAAGACCAACCCGAACCGAAATTTCTCTATTCCTAATTTTCGGTATTTCGGGATGATTCGGTATTCCCGAATTTCATACAAATTAAAAACAAATCTCAGTACAAGCCACAGTTTTTTGTGCAGACACCATCAGAGACATGGCAAAGCTTCATCATACCACATTGACAGTTACAAAACACACTTTCATTGCCACTTTCACAGTGCGTGGCAGGCAATTAAAAACGATTTCCTCTTCCGCTTCCATCGCCATGGTAATGAGAAAATATAACCCAAAACAAACACATTCACAGTAACGAAACACACTGTCATTGCCACAGATGTTATCTTCAACTCACATTCACTATGCATTAACTGTTACTTTACATCACGAAACCCAACCTAAACCCGCGTACCCTTACAAGCAGGGCAAACACCGGGAATCTCCCCCACTCCATCAGAATTCAGACATGCTTCTCCAAACACCCAACCAATTATCTCACACATTTCTGCTCAGCATTTTGGTACTGGGCAAAAAAAAGGAGAGGGCTCGATGGCTGTCTGGCAGAGGGAGGCTGGGATTCAAAGATCGAAATGAAATGAGGAGAGAAGGAAGGGTGGGCTGGAGAACCCCAAAAAAACGAATGGACGACACAAATCGATTCCAAACAATCGAACGGTTGAAATAATTCTAACTATAATTAAAAAATAATATATATATATATATATATTATTTATTTTTGGTTTGATATGGGATTAGGGCTGGAAAAAAATCCCGAACATCCCGAACCAAATCGAAAAAATTCCAATCCCAAACCGAAGACGTCCCTAACCGAAAATCCCGAATTGTTATATACCCGATCCCGAAAAATTCAGTACGGGATTCGGGATCACATTTGCTTTCATTCGGTAATCCCAAACCGAACCGAAACATTTATAAAATATATATTTAATTTTAAATAGGTTTTAAGAATTATGTGGATCATTGGATTAGTTGAGATTTAATCTCAACCGTCCAATCCAACTTAAGTTTTTCAGTCCTCTCGTCTCTGTCTCTCATTCTGATTCACATACACACACACATTCTCGAACTCTCTCTTAAGTCTCAACCCAATCTCATCTCTTTCAGTCTCGACTTCACAATCGTCGAGACGCCGTTGTCCAAGAGTCGCCGCAGAAAAAAGAGGCGCCGTTGTCGCCAAAAGTAAGGAAGCATTGTCGTCAAGTCTCCTTCTGCAGAAGTGTGAAGGAGGCGCCGTTGTTGCCATCCAAGGGTCGCCGCAGACGATCTGACAACTTCGATTCCGCATCGTATACTGAGTCCAGTGGTTTCGATAGCCGCAACTCCTTTCCGGCGAGGAGCTCCAGGGAGCGAAAGGAACAAAGCAGTTGTAGAAAAAGCAGCCGCCGCAAGTGATGAGATTTCTAGGTTGATTTCGAAATATAAGGTTTTATTTCAAATTTTTTTTGTTGGGTTGATTTATAGGGTTTGTCAAGATTGGGGTTGAATCTGTTTTGATTGTTTCCTGATCTGCAATTGGAAAAACTACTTTGTAAAACAATTTTGAATTTTGAATAGATGAGTTTTGTATAATCCAATCCCGAACCGAAATACCGAAAAATTTCAGGAATCTCAAACTTCAGGAATACTGAAATATCGGTTCGGTTTCGAGTTTTGAAATTCTGTCCTGAAAGGGATCGGTTTGGGTTTGAGTTTGAGCTTTTTGGTTCGAGATCCTGACCCGAACCACCCCTATATGGGATACCATTGAGGAGACAATATCGTTTCCGTACCAAAATATTGGAATCGGTTCGGTATGTTATCCCGAAATTTTTGGGAATTTTGGTTTGAGACTTTTTTGTTTTGAGATCGGAATTTTTTTGGTTTGGTTTGGAATTTTCGAGAATTTTTTCCAGCCCTCCTACAAAGATGGCTTCTTGAGTTTACACACGATACGCACCGTTTCGCTTCTCTATATATAATTGGGCTTTTTTCTGCTGCCCAAAGGGCCCAAAATATAAGGTTCGGGCTTTGCTCAAGCGATGAAATTGTTTGCTTCCTAAAAAGAACGTTACTCGATGATACTAGTAATTCACGTGTTAATATGTTACAAATTTAAAGTGCAGATAATATTAACACATAGATACATGTGTTGTAACATATATCACTAGGGTGGTCGCCGCTCCGGCAAATAGCTCGAATTTGTAGTTTTTCGGGTAAGAGAATTGAGTTAAGACACAAAATGAACCAACCATAATAATTGACCTCAAACTCGCCAGTTATGAAAATTGAACTTGATAATTCCGACTTACAAATAAAGAGGAATAAATAACTGGAAATACCTTTAAATTCTAGTGCCAAATGGCAAGTTTTCAGCTCAATTATTACTAGTCTATTTCCCATTCACGGGCAACAAGTAAAATTGCAGGAAGAAAAAAAAATCATTATTCACAACATCCTTGACGCATCCAGAAAAAAATTAACTTAGATCATTGTTTTGGTAAACAAAAAAATTTCAAAAAGATATGCCCGATGTAACCCGGCGTACGCCGTATGGTACCCCGAGCCTCCGATACCAGGACAAAACGATGCTCATTTCCTTTGAAGCAGCAATAATGTCACTACAAGTAGAAGTCCATGAAATAGCTCCTCCTCGGAGCAACTTTCGTCATTGTTTATCTAATAGCTCGTCCAGGCCCCCTTCTGGCGCGAAGGTCATTGTATGTCCTTGTAACATGTTGCAGTCGTGGATCATCTTCAGGAATCTCACGTTTCTGCCATTTCAGAAACAGAAATGAAGGAAACAATTGTCAAAAACCACAAAGATGGAGTCCGATTATTAGGACTTTTATTACTACATCGTAAGGCCAGAGACTCACTTTTAATCCCTTGTAATATGCTTCTACGGAAAGGAATTGAGGAACTATTTTACGCGCTTCCATCAGGTCCCAGATATAGTTGGCAACACTATAACCTCCAGTCTGCAGAAAAGAGCACAAAAGATTTGTAGCAAGACAATCGAAACTAATACAAAATGCATAGACCAGGACAGGTGAAGAATTCTCTCAATTCTTTATAGCAATAGAGCAACTAGAGATAACTCTTTTAAGTTGCCCACCTCGTCACCAGCAGCTTGAAGGAGAAGATCACTCCCCATTTTTGGACTTAAGAAAAAGCTCCGGGAATTCATATTCACCTGCATTGGAACATGAAAACCTTAAAATGATTTTGACTAAGGCCGTGATTTGAAATATCAAAAACTTGATTTAAGAATTAGAAGCTGCAATAGACCAACCATACCAGTGTTTCTTCGGCAATTTTCATTCCCTTGGGAGTATATCCAATCATGGCTCCCTCCACAAGCATCTACAGAAACATAGTTCAGCGTAAATTAGGGTATGCATCTGAATGATAAAAAGACTAGTAACACATTAAGTGAAAACAAATATTATCATTTTGTTCAGCAGAGATGCTAAAACAAAGCATCAGGATGCAATACGTTATAATAAGAAAAGATTATGAACAAACAACTAGCCAACCACATATTTCAACGTTACATATTTATTAAATAGGACAAACTGAACCAATTATACTTGTTCCTGGCACAATCATGTTTTGGATTTTAAACAAAAACATAAGAAAAACTGATAAAAATGGTTTCTACATAAGCTAGTCAACGAAGCAATAAAGTGATAATTCAGAAATCAGATTCTCTTAAACCAGGAACATTATTCTCACTTTTGAGTTTTGTCTACAACACAAAATCAAAGGACCAGTGTCCATATATGAAAAGAAAGTGATGTTTCATGACAAAAGAATTGTGTTTGTTGCCTAACTCACCGTATATAGTTCTACAACAGGAGGCTTTCCTGACTTCATATAGTCTTCAAAAGTTTGAATACCACGGTCAATGTCCCCTGAGTGTAGATAACACCTGAATAAAAAAATTAGCAGTGAAGGCAAACGGACACAACAGTACGAATTGAGGTTATAATAACGCACAAGCAAGACAATACCATCTTAAACATGTAGTGCATTTAATAAAATTTTGTAATAAAAGGCTACTTACCTCATTATTTGCAACACAATAAACAGATCGGGACTTTTTCCTTCCTTCGCTAGCATCTCCTGAAGAGCTTCCATCACCTAGCATAATTTCAGAAGTGAAGATATAAGAATCAAACTTTTATGGCAAGGGGAAAAGAGAAGGGAATCTTATTAGGCAACTTAATTTATGGTGGTATTGTTCACACCATACAGCAATTCTTTGTAGTTTGATTTATAACATAATGAAAGAAAAAACTAAATAATGCTAGGGAGTATTAATCATGAGAGCCTCTCACGGTCATAAAACTTATGAACCATGTAGTGCCACATCCATGCATAGAGTGGTAAGTTGTTAGGTAGATACGGATATTGCCCAATAACAAAAGATTGAAAGTACAATATCAACAAACCAAGAAAAAGAACCTGCAAGCAAACAAGATACAATGGTTTCTTTAGTGGCGTTGAGATGAGATAATAGAGATGTGAGACATTACCTCTACATTCCTGAGGTCTGCGCAAGCATGGAATGCAGCATGATACACAGTTAGTTGCCTATTCAGAAACCCACCCCTATGAGAATATTCAGCAGTTGGCATATTATACAACTCTTCTTCTGTCACACCCATCATCACATTTTCAGCAGTCATACTTGATCCTTCAACCGATGACCACTCTTTTGATTGCTCAACAAACTCTATAATCTTAGTGCAAATGGAGAGTATAAGAGCTTTGAACAGGAACAAAATAAAAGCTTACTTCAAACCAGAGAAGAAAACGATTAAATAATTACTTTGGTGCCAAAATCATCTGGTAAAGGGGTTTTGTTCCTAAGTGCAGTTACAAGTCCAGCGTAGCAGAACCTGTTTAGCCCAAGACCAGCAGCAGTCATGTCACGGACAATTGCATACCTGCATCAACAATGCAATGCAGAATTAACCGCATGAGGCACAAAATCAACATTTGGAATAACGAAACAAGCACGAGCATAAAAGAAGAAGCATACACTCGATCTAATCGGCCAGTAGCTGCGCACGCATTGAGCAGACACATGTAGGTCTGTACCTTGGGTGACACTTCATAGTTCTTCATGTCTTCCAAAATCTATTGAAATATATCACATCAAGACATAGTGACATACCCACATTCCCTTGTTAATGATCAGACAGGGCTATAAACAGCAAAAAACCTAGAGTACATCACTTTACGGCATACATTTGCTATATTTAACGGCCAGATGTTCAGTGAACAATCCAACAGAATTTAGCCGGTATCCGCTTAAACTGCAATGTATACTATGCATCAATGTACATTGTGCAATATAGAAGGAATCTTACAAGTGGCAGTAAAAACCCGAACCTGAATCGCTCGATCAGAGTGCTTACACTTCCCACACAATGTGATCAATATGTTGTACATATTAACCTACAACAACGCAATCAAATCAACATCCACACACACACTCGCATTTTCCGAAATAACGAAACAAAAATGCCGATACAAATTTAAACAACTGACATACATCAGGGGCCAAGCCCATGGATTTCATCTGGTCAGCGAAGAAGAAAGCGTCCTGCAAGCTCGAGCCTTTGAGGGTGCCCAGTATGAGCGACCGGAAGCTGTCCTGGTCAGGCTGGACGCCGTCGAGCATCATATCCTCATACGCATCCCTCAGCAGGAAATGCTTCCTCTGAGCAGTGAGGGAATTGAACACGCTGTTGTACTCCGACACGTTGTTGGCGTAGTTCCTCTTCGCGTATTCCTCCGTCGTCGCCGCCGCAGCCGCAAAGTACCGCCGTCCCAGAGCTCGCAGCGCCGGCCGACACTGACCTGCAGCAGCATGATTCAGTATTAACATTTTGTTTCCAAAATTTCAACAAATTAATGGAAAATCAGAGCTCTGAAGTTTTGGATTACCAGTAATGGATTGGAGGATTCTCATGGTTTTTGCTCTGTGGCTGACTCGCTGTGCGACTCAGTGAGTGAGAGTGGCGAGTTTATCTGTTTCTAAACCCCCATCCCAAACCCTCTTTCCTTTCTGCTTCCTTCGTTTTTCCCCGCGTTTCTCTCGTTCGCCGGCTCGTACAGATTAAACGCACCGTTTTCATGCGATTTTACCATCTGTGGGCTTTTTATGGACTACATTTAAATGGGCCCATGTATTAAAGCCTGTGATATTGTCGTGGTCTATGAAGCCCAAACACTGATCTCAAGAGGCCCGTTTGGTGGCTGAGGACCCCACAAGATTAGGGTTTTTGATTCGGTTTAGAGCTCAATACCTTCGGTAATGATTTGATCAAAACCAAACCATTAGGTTATTTTGATCTACATTTATTTTTTTCGGCACAAATATTTAGTCCACTCGAGTTGAGATCTTCTCTAGACCTCACTGTCTAGAGTTTAAGGATCAGAAAATTCGAATGGTTCAAAAGAGAGATTACGGCCTTTGGTTTGTGTGAGGTGAATAAGTATAATGAGTTAATAGAGATAGATTCAATTTGAGTGAATTTGGATTTCATGGTCCTTAGACTCCGGACAATAAAATTTAGCAAGAATTTCAACTCAGTGAACTCCTATAAAGAAACTTGTAAGTCTCTTCATGTTAAACGGTTGTCCAAATTAAGTCTACTCTGAGTATGTTAACTCACTAAACATATGGTTTAATTTTGACAACAACAATTGTTAGTAATATGAGATTCAAACTTGAAGCAAATGAACGAATATACTCTACGTACCAAATAACTCAGCAAACCTCTAAATAATATAAAACATATCTAATTAGTCATTTCATGTCTAGCCAACGAAGCTATGATCTTAGTCCTGATTAAATGATGTGAGATTATGATAGAATTGTTTCGTTTTTGGAGATTTGATACGTTTATGAATTGATGGATGAAGTTGAACATCGTCATTAGTAATAGTCCTACACTGATAAGTGATAGCGAAGCATAATATTTATATGTAACTTGCAACTCCCAACTGCCAACTCCCTTTCATATTTATTTCTGTTTGGTCGAAAGTATATTACCAGTTATTTCCATTCATTTAATTGAGTTGTTGGTTGTGATTAAGTCCCAATTGCAAATTGCAACGTGCCAATGTTCAATTTTGTCCGTATCGAGAATACAGCTCGATACACTAAGTGTCATAATATTAATGGTTAAATTTTTTTTTTAAATATCCAATCATTTGTATTATGACACTTGGTACGGCCCAAAATTTTATGTAATAATCTTTATATTGTATTGTTAATAATTAGTTTATGGAAAATTTATGAGTTGGGTGTGGTCACTGGGGAAAGTAATATCAAAGTGATCAGCAGCAATATTTTTAATTTCTTGGGCAAGATTCGAACTTAAATAAGCATAAATGATCGATCACACTCTTTAATGTACTAGCGCACTATCTTAATTAACTAGCATAACTCAAATTTGCATAATACACAAGAATTTGATTATATTATTATGTGCTTACGAGCATTACACATAAAACACAAGCGATATTTGTGACAAAAAAAAGCTAGAAAACTCGTTAATATTAAAAATAAAGCAGGCCCTGAGGAGATGCAGGTGGTGCCATGATCGGTCCTGAAAGGATGCAGGTGGTCTCATCGCCGACCCTAAGGGGGCGTAGGTGATGCCATCATCGGCCTCGAGGGGCTTAATGACCGAATGGATTAAGCAATGTTTTTGCTTGGGAGGGCATAGGGTTTGCTGAACTGAAGGGAATGCTGAGTAGTAGTGCCCTTCTTGTGAAGGGCCTTCAACGAGGAAGGGCTGACCTGCACGAACAAATAGTTGCCAGCAAAGAGATCACCAAAGTGCGACTGCCCTTCCTTGAACCTCCTCACCACCTTTGCACACAGAGCAGAAATCACCCTCACCTTCCTCCTCAAGGACAACAACCTCCTCAGGCTCGGAACTCTGAGCTTGAACGATCTCCTCCGAATGTGAACCCTTCTGAACGGTCTAAACCTGCACCAACTAGTAGTAGAATTGTTTCTCCTTGATCTCACCACCACTCTGTTTGTCTCGAAATCGAACTCGTCGTCATCGAGATCTTCTTCGTGTGTGAGTCTTCGGTAAGCAGGGAGCTTGGAGGAAGAAGAAGATGAGGTCATTGGAGATAACTTCAAAATGTTGTTTGGAGTTGGATGGGAACTGTGAGGGATATGAGATAATGGTGTTTGGGTTGAGTAGTTGGGTTTTATTTTCTTTGGGTTAGGGTTTGGACAATAATGTGATGGGGGAAATATGTGGTTCGAGGAAGTTTCATTCAATGAGACAAACAAGGTGGGTCAGTTATTTTCTTGTAGCAAACAAGCAAAGCAGATGAGGTGGTGAGGTGAAGTTTATGCTTTAGCCAATATCAACTGTTTCATGTATTTGGCCTAACAAACAAGTTGTGTTTATCATGTTCATGTATTATGTTATATATATTATCTTAATAAGTCATATCATGTCATGCCATATTTGTTATCTTAACTGTTTCTTAACAGGTGCTCTAATAGTGACTTGATTTGTTAATGGGTCATGTTGTTTCATGTTGAGTTAATGGGTCATGTAAGAAATTATTATGCCTAATGTCTAGATTTAGAAAGCGATATCTTATCAGGTTCTTAAGGATGACCAAATAACGATCTAACTCGTTAATGGACGACCCGATAATGAATTGACTCGTTAACAGGCTGATGCAAAACCTGTTATTTTCATGTAGTTCATGTCAGGTTAACAAGTCGTGCATGAAATTGACATACTAGCATTGTCACCCTGGAATATAGAGTTTAGTTGAAGATACAAACCGTTACTAATTTGCTTTCAAATTATAACATATGTTAAGTATAACAAAATTTCCTTTTTGGATATTTAGAAGGTGTAAAACTAGGCAACAAAAGAGCTTAGTACTTCAACTAGAGGAGCGACCAGTTAGTTCACCAAACCTCAACCTAGGGTCACACGTCCTACATGTTCGAAGGATTCAGTGCTGAAAAACCAACTCCTCTCATAAACTACGTTCTCAGAATGATCATTGTTGTACTCTAATGGATGACATAACTAATATGTCGTCCATTCTATTGTAATATTATAACACATAAATTAATAGTACAAAAAACACCATGCATGATGCATCACACTCCTTTAGACAAAAACAACATATTGATATAGAGATAAAGACATCCAACTTTAACACGCTTGTCACCGATTTGAAGAATCGAGTGTCACTACCACTTCCAAGAAACGTGACACCTCCGTCACTCTTTCAAGCCTCAATCCAACACCGATGGAGAAAGAAAATGACCACACAACACATGAACCCCTTGATTCCACAACTAAGTCATACGTGTCTACTACCAACAATATTTATTTTGTCCCTTTTCCTTTCATGAAAAAGTAATCAATTGCCTCAAATAATTGTATAAATTCTTAAGGCTTCGTTTAGTAAGTCGGCAAGATTTTGGGTCATATACCTTGTGACCCATGTTTAAAACAATTCGTACTACCCATGCCGATTTCGTGGACCTAATAATGATAAAATTTAAGGGTTAAGAATTTTGTTTGTCAGTGTGTAAGAGGTCAAAATGTATTTTAGTCATTGTACTTTAATTTAACGAATTCGATTGTTATTTTACTGAAGATTAATATTTTTTAACCACACATTGAGGGAAGTGATCAAAATTGTTAACGGCAAACAAATAAATTTTGACTTATAACAGTGACCAAAAGTCTTTAACTAAAAAGTTTAGGTAGAGATACCCAACAAGCTTGTACTTCTAACCTAAAAATTTAGATAAAAATGCGCAACGGAGCCTATATTTTAGTCCCACTCAACCCCACGTTAGACCAATGCAACTTTTCCAAAGTTTCTCTCCCTGATTACATCCAGTCGACACACGAAGCTTTGAAAGCAAGCCATGCTCAATTATTTGAATTTTTGCTTTGCTTTTGCCTTAAGCAATGGAAAGGGATCTAGGGATCTGGAGAGGATCCCTTTCAATAAGCAATCATCTAATCACTTGGACGATGGGACCACCATCCACAAGAAGTCAACCTCCCATGAAATAGTAGACCACCATCTCCTATTTTACGAATCGAGATCCTTATCGAATTTGTGTGTTCAGGATCGTCAGATTTCAACTTATTGCAAATCCTACGATCACATTAGTCAATTTTACTAGTTCACCTCGAGGGTCAAAATCTCTTCCTTTTAAACGGTCCAGTTTGCAGCATTTCATTTCTTTTTTCTTCTTTTTAAACAACCCAAAAAAATACCACACCTGGATCATTATCAACATATGTTGGATTCGACCAACCAATTACCAAACGAGAGCTACTAAACTCATCTTATTGTCTTATTTTTCCACTCATATTATAATCACACCCACCTTAAAAAGTTAAAAAATTAAAATGCTATTTCCCCACCCATTATTATTCCCAAAATAACCTTTAATATATACATACATATGAAGTTCTAAAATTCTCTCTTAAAAAATATAACAAATAATATGTAAAAAAAACCCACTAATTAAGGTCTGCAAATGCAAATGGAACCGACAAAGATATCCAAATTCAAAAGAATTCGACAACGACAAATTAAAAAATACAATTGACAAATTCAAATGATCTACACAAGTTATTCTTCTACATTTTCAATGAAAACATAATATTCTACCTCTTCCGTAGAAGCATCACTTCCACCTCTTAGATGAAAAAGTCATCTTCTGAGTCCATTGATATTTTTTTTAGTTTTTCTAAATGAAAGGAGATGAAAATATGAGTTAGGGTTTACGGTAGACAAATCGTCTCCGCCCAACTTTTTTTTTATTTTAAAATTAAGCAAAACGAGATAATTAATGTCCTTATCAGTCTTTTTGCAAATGGACAAATATGTAATTAAAATTTTCATTAAAAGATAGGTGGGAAAATAAGACATTGGGGTGGAAATAACATCACTCTTACCAAACCTAATAACCTCCTGCTGATCACCTAAAGCAATGGACTACAAAGAATGTGATTTAAAAAAAAAATATATATATATATATATATATATATATATATATATAAATTAAAAAAAATCCCAATACAAACAATGTCAGCACTCTGGCACGAAAGAGGGTCGTCATTAATACAGTTTTATCCGGGTTTGGATTGTCGTTCTGCATATTGGGCACGAATGAAGATCCTGTCCACAGTCGCAACATGTCTGCGCCGGAAACATAACACTGAGAAGTAAGAACATGGTGCTAACAATATGATCGTCTCAACTCATCTTAAAACTATAACTCAAAAATGTACCTGATGCCCGCAACCAAAGGCCATGTCTTTCGAATTCGTAAGGCAAATGGGGCAAACCTGTTCAACACCATATAAAATGTTCACCCATGAGTGCTACAAACGCATCAAAACAGGTTTAAAGGTGGCTGCTGAGAAGTTCGCATACCTGATGATCATAGGTAGAACTGGGAGCAGATGGAGCTGTACCGACGGAACTGCTGTCTCCATAATAAGGGGGAACACTAGGCTCATAACTGGTAGTTTGAGAAGGTTTCGTGAAAGATGGTGTACTGAAACCGGTACCACGGGAAGGTTTTGAGCTGCTGAAAGATGACGCACCATACACTGGTGGGGGAAGAGGAACCCTCTCAGGAATATTGCCCTTCCGACCACTGCCCATTTCAAGAACAAAATTGTGTATTAACATTAAGTACACAGTGGTATTCAAAAAGCTTTTAGAGATGAGAAATATGGACAGCATTGTTACCCCAGTAAGCTAAGTTCTAATGTCGCTTTATACTGAGAAGGAATTTCCATCAAGGCTGCTAGAGCAAATTCTGTCTCCTTTCTTGATGGTGGCACGTTCTTTGACATAATTTGCGTAAAATTCACGAACTACAGACAACAAAACAAATTTGCTTTCCAGTTAAGTACTTTCCAATAATCATAAACAAGCGATCATGAGTAACATAAAGAAACTCGTATTAAAATGCTGGGAACTTACTTGGAAATTATCAAATGCCCGAGTAGGAATATTGTCATCAAATTCTTTCATCATGTCCCAGGGCCCATCTCCAACACCAACTAATATAATTGATAGAGGGAGCTTGCTGTGATAAAATAAGTGTACAAGATAAATAACGGTTGGTAAAAAAACAACGCCGCATGTTTAGGAAAAAAAAAAACTACCACACTCACCTTGCTGCAACAATGGCATTAACTGTGTTCTGCTCCTGAGGGCTCAGCCTGCCACGTTCAGTATCAACACTTCTAGTTACCTAAGGCAAAAAATCACATTACGTCAGAAAAAAATATTGGGAAAACTTGCGATTACAATACAACATTGCCACTTGCAACCATCATAAAACAGGAGAGCAAGTATCAGCAGAGCTCGTTAAGAATAGCTACCATACAAGATTACGCCTATGGCCTATCCAAGAACCTAACTTATCACACAACTTAAGAAGGAGATAGGGCAGGATATCCGCAAGCGGATATCCTGAACTGTGATAGACTTTAAAACCAAACAGCCAATTCCCATAAGAAAAGGCAGGAATTTCCTTCATAGATAAAACAAGATTATAGCACGGCCGGCGTATACTCTACTAAATAAAACAAGATTGAAGCAAGATACCTGGCCATCTGCAATAATCAACAGTACATGGTACTGGCCGTGACTCTCCTCAACAATAGTCATGGCCTGTTCAATTACAGGTGCAAATGAAGTCGGTCCTGCCAAACATAACGAGATAACGTAAGACGACTGGTTAGCTGATACAATGATCATGTCAAGAAACAAGTATATATAGGAAGCATCAGCCAAACCTGCAAGCCGTAGCTTAGGAACAATTTCCCTGTAGCGAGTCAATACTTCCTCGAATCCATTGCAATATCTATCATCATAGAAACTAAAGACATCTTGATCATGAGTTGACGCTGCAAAGTGACAAAGTGATGATTATCATCCCAGGTTTGAAAGAACAAAACCTTAGACAAACAAATCGACAATAAATAAATAAAACCTTACCATCTCCAAAGCCGAAACAGGGAATTAGGTTATCCTCATCAAAAACAGCCAAGGTCTTTCCAATTATGGATATCGCATGTTCATAGGGATTTGGCGTATTCCCAACGTGATGCAAGCTTTTCCGGTGAAATGACCTCGCACCTATTTACACAACCAATTTCAGTATCTTCCACAGCAACACATACACAATTTACACTAAATTATTTGAGGAGATAAGATATTAATGGGCTTAACCTGTCCATTCATTGCTCTTTGTGAAATCAATACCGACGATAAGATTGGAAGACTCGAGACCAGCACGTGCAAGAGCCTCCGTCACCTGAAAACAAGTAAAGTTGAGTCAACATAATTAACCATCTCAGGCGGTTAACAAAACTTTAACCAAAAAACAGGGAAGCTTGCAGAAGATACCGCCGCGCTAATCTTACCTCCTCCAGGGAATTGTAAGAATCAGCAATTCTGGAATATCTCCTATCGAACTTCTTCTCATGCCGAGGAGCTGCAGGAGCAGCCGGCCGAGGGGCTGCAGGAGCAGCCGGTCGAGGGGCTGCAGGAGCAGCGTACTCGGGGGCATAGTAAGGCTGTGCTGTTGGATAGGATTCCGGGGGTGGTGGTGGTGGATAGCTCTCACTTTCTTGACCATATGACGGTTGAGCATGTGGCGATTCAGAATATGTTGGCTGATCATCCGAATACCCGTCCCACGCAGAACTCCATCGAGTAGACGAATCCGGCCTATAGATCCCCTCTTTTGAACTGCTCCCACCCATTAACCCAACTCAGAATAAATTCCCAAAATCTAAAAGGAATCCTGTTTCCCCTTTTCCTTAAGAATGCAGCCCGCAAAAATCAACCGAACGAGTCGAAATCCGCACCTACAAAGCAGCCAAAACAAAACCCAGAAAGCAGAAACTATAAACTCAAATCCGCACCTAAAAAGCAGCCAACCGGAAAACGAAAACTTTGATTTATAAATACACCCCCACAAGGCAGCCAAAACAAACCCCAGAAAGCGAAAACTTTGAATTCAATACCGGTGGGCGCATATATATGTGAGGACTCGAAAACAGAGTTCGGAACAGGTGAGGATTGGTGGAAGACTCTAAGAAAGTTCGTATTCAGTATTATTGCAAATTTGAAGGGGGATTTGGAAGGCTCAAGGAAACGAAGTTGGACACGACTCGTTCATACCATTACAAAATTGTATTCACCGCCGACTTAAAATAAACCCCTGTTCTGCTAAAAGTTTTCTACCCTTGCCGAAAATTAGGCGCCAAGTGTCGCTTCCACCGCAAGCCACAAAAAGGAAAGATTTTGATTACGCACCCACCAAAACTAATAAAATTCGCAAATCGAAAATCACATGTATAATGCAAAGAGCAAGAAAAGACAAAATACTGAAACGACCTCAGGAAAGTCAGAGCGGCACTGTTCGATCTCGATCGTACGTACCTGAGGAGGAAGGAGGGCTCTGAAACATGGCGAGCGGTCGCCGATGGAAGACTTGGAGTGATGAGAGAGAGGGAGACTGAGTTAGGTTTAATTAGTAGATTAATGGGTTGGTGGATCTTAATTAGTCGATTATAAATATATGATTAGAAAGTGGGGAGGCTCCCCTTTTTGGAAGAAAGTGGGAAGCTTTAGCTCTCTACTTTTTCTGAGTTCTCTTTTGAAAAGCTGAATATTTGAGAAATCGGAATCAGAGGAAATTTGGGGCTCTCGGTTCATGGAAGTTTCGCCGAAGTGGGTACCGCAATAATGGCTGTTACTGTTTTTGGATTCGGTGTTTTTGAAAACAGAAATTGAAAGTTTTTGAGTTCTGTTTTTTTTTTTTTTCAATATTGTTTATTTTAACGAAAAATCATATTTTTATACTAAAAAGTCAATTCCGGTACTATTCACTTTACCATTTATTTTGTCCTTATCGTTAAAACTCAAAATTTTCAATACATTTTTATTAGTTTTCCTTATAAAAAAACTATGAATGAGTGGGTTTGCTTGACTGCGACTGCGTCCTCACGTTCTCCATTCCCTAATCTCATCTTGTATTCTGGAAAAAGTATAACATTTGCGTTTAGGTGTGTTTTGTATTATATGATCGTTTATAAATACTTTTATATTTATTAAAAGTGTGTTTTTAAAGAAAAAAATTTAGGACTCTAATTTTTTAAATTCAAATTTTTTTTTAAAGTTTTAGACCTTAAAAACTTATTTAGTATAACGATTTTAAAAAATTTAATTCAAGACTAGCTAAAAAAATATAGTTCATTCTCTAAAAACTCAACATAAAAAAATGAGTTTTTAGAGTTTTTAAGCTTAAACTTACTCATTTCTTTTCTCTCCCTCCTCTTTCACTCCAAATATATCTCTCTTCTCTTCTTTCTCTTCTCTTTTTTTTTAACATTTTTCGTCTCTTCTCCAATGTCACAGCCCGTCCCGGAATTATTAATTCCGAGGACGTGAGATGACCAATGTGACCTTAAACGGGATTAAGGTGTGTAAATGTATGACATTTGTTTTACTTTAAGATCCTAAACTAGGGTTAGATTTATATTTGTATGTGTTAATTTGTGCTTGGACTTAGGTAGGACCTCCTACCCTGAATTCCCTCCCTAAAACCCGTAACCTTTCTTCTCTCTTCTTCTTTCATTCCATACTCTCTCTCTCTCTTATTCTTTTCTGAAAACTCTCTCATTCTCTCTCTTACTCTCGAACTCACGGCAACCACCAAGAACCACCACAATATTGTACCAACGTTCCATTTAAGACCACCATCGTGATCCTGGGGACTTCACGAGCACGGGGATACCAATTTCAGGTGAGTTTCACTTCGAAAACCCTAGTTCTAAAGTTGCCGTGAGATGACACTGTTCATGAGCTTTGAATTGGTTACGTTTTAGGCTAAAACAAGATCACAGCGAGTTTAGTAAGGTCCCAAGGAAGCTCGGAGTGCTTCGTTGGAAGTTTTTGGACGTAAGAACACGGAGATCGACAAGTTCAAAGTTTGGCCGGAGCTTTCGAGGCGTTTTCCGGCGAATCCCCGGCGAGTTAGGAGTCGAGGTAGGTATCAATCTCTTCGTCTCGTCAAGTAATACAACTTTACTTTTTGTTTCACTCAATTTCGTTGAGTATTGAAGAAGTTATACTCATTTGAAAAATACCCAGTTTCCGGCGACCTCCGAGGCTTTCGAGGCAGTTTCCGGCCAAACCACGGCGAACTAGGTGTTGTGCAAGGTACCATTCTCTTTTTTCTCTTCAAGGGCTACAACTTTCGTTTTTGAATCACTTGATTTCGTTGAGAAATGACAAAGTTATGGCAATTTGAAAAACTGCCCGGAAAACGGCCGCCGGAAAAACCAGTCCGGCGACCCAAGGAAGAAGAAGGTGCTACAGTAAAAATAAAAAATAAAAATAAAATTATTTTAAAAATATGTCGACGTCCGTGACGTCGAGTAGATCACTGTGGTATATTCATATACCTAAATTGAACACCGTATGAGAAAGTTATTGAGGATTGTTGGTTAGGTGTTCAAATAACGTTTTATAGTTTTCACATTTAGGTGAAAATGTGAATTGATGATCCGACCGTTGGATCGTCACCAAAATTTGATACGTTGTAATACGTAATATTTGAGGATTATTGGAACTTACGGATTGGGAATCCGAGTTACGGATCTTCCGGAATTGGAATTGTAAGTCCATAATATAAAATGTTAACCGTCACTTAGTTTTGGAAATTGACGGAGATCCGACCGTTGGATGGTAATGAAATTTTAGGATGATGTTGTCCTAGAGGTATAATGTGGACCTCTGGAAGTTATGGATTTAAAATCTGAGTGGCAGATCTTCCGGATCGATCAACGTAGTGACGTTTTTTATATAAGTTATGTATTCTATCGATATGAATTCTGAGCCTGGATTTGATTACTATTCTAGGCGGCGATCGTCATGACGCCTTGATGTGTGGTGCTAGGGAGTTGTTGGACGAACTCCAGGTGAGTGGGCAGTTTTGTTTTCCGTATATATATATACTTGACGTTTCCCAGAAATTGAATTGATGAAATGAAAATATGTTTAAAATGAAATGCATATGAGTTATGTGGAAAAACGGGAAGTGAAATACCATGCATAGAATTGATATGAAAAGTATATAGAAATGTGAGTTGAAATGCCATGCATGAATTAATATATGATGCATATGTATGAATTGGTGCGGTGGACGCACATGTAAGAATTGATTTATGATGCATATGTATGAATTGGTGCGGTGGACGCACAGGTAAGAATTGATTTATGATGCATATGTATGAATTGGTGCGGTGGACGCCACATGTAAGAATTGATTTATGATGCATATGTATGAAATGGTGCGGTGGACGCACAGATGAGTATTTAATTACTGTTATGATGATGATGATATATATTGAGCTCAAATCCTGCACCATGGTTTAGTGCTTATATAGTATTCACCGCATCGCACGCTCGCCTTGGATCCAAGTAGATGCTAGTCGTACAGTCCACGCGGAGTGGGTACGACGACAGACCAGTCGCGAGAGTGTTAGTGAGATTCCGACTGGTGGGTGACCTTAGATTATGTGCACAGATGATTTATGAGAAGCACTAGAGCGTAACTTGTGTGCAGAAGGCCGGACGGGTCACAGAGGTGACTCCGGTAGAGTGATAATGATATAGATTTTGAGCTCTAGGTTCAACCGTATAGGGCTATTAGAGGGCCTACGGTTGATTACTTTCTTGCACCTGATATGATTATGTTGATGCATTCATACCTTATTACTGTTGAGATGATGTGGCATGGCATAATTAATATGAGAAATGTTGAGATGACATGGCATGGCATGATTGATAAAGAGATAATGTTGAGATAGTAAAAATGAAGTTTTGAGAATATATATGTATATTTATTTATATTTTACATTTCTGGGAAAGTATACAGGTTTTACGGAGAGGGGTTACAACGTTTTGAGAAATGTTTGGATTTGGAAAAGAATTGTTTTACTGACCCACTCAATTTTGGTTTTGCGCCCCTCCAGGTTCAGGAATCACAAAGGTGTGGTGACTACGAGGAATACAGCGGGGTTCTGACAGATTGGACAAAATTAGGACTCACCTTCGGGTGTATCAACTTATAAATTGTATAATTAAAGCTTCCGTACTGTGCAAATGGTTACGTCACTCTCACGTGACGGCCAGCATGCCCTCCTTCGGGACGGGGTGTGTCATCCAATCCGTTCCCACCATTCTCTCAGTTATTTCTCTCTCTCCTATTCCTCTCTATCTCATCTTATCACCTCTCTTTTTTGTCTTTTCTTCAACAATTTCTTACTTTATTTACTCCTCTCTCCTGTTTCTCTCTCTCATGCGACTTCTTCTTTTTAGATCTCTTTGTTTAGTTTAAGTTGTAAGATTTAAAAAATTTAAATCGCAAACCAATCAAGTTTTTGAATCTTAAACAAAATTGTTTTCAAGAAATGTTTTTAAGAAATATTTAAAAAATGATAAATAAAATTCAAATAAAATACCAAAAACCTTTAAATTTCAAAAGAATTTAAAGTTTTTTTTTTTTTAAATTCTCTTGTATTTTTATTAAATATTAATTCTAGCATTTGAGAAATCAGAATCAGAGGAAAAATGGGCTCTGCACATGAAGTTTCGCCGAAGCGGGCACCGCAATAATGGCTGTTACTGTTTTTGGATTCGGTGCTTTTGAAAACCGAAATTGGAAGTTTTTGAGTTCTGTTTCTGGTTTGAATTTCGAGAAAGTCCACCTAGGATATGGGTGATGATGAATGACTGGGTTTGTTGGTGTGCGACTGTGGCCTCACGTTCTCCATAGTCCCTAATCTCATCTTGTACTAGGAAAATGGATAATATCTGCATTTCGGTGTGCTTTGTATTATATGATAATGACTCGCTTGAAGTGTATAATAAAATTTTTAGAATGTTAATAATATTTTTTTAAATTTATTAAAAGTGTTTTTAAATAAAATATTTTTCGGTTTCAAAAATATTTGAAATGTATTTTTTTTAAATTCATTTGTATTTTTACTGAATATTGGTTTTAAAAATATATTTGCTAAAATCATTTTTAATTATTTTATGATGAAAATTTGGTTGTGACTATCGTGTATTATTGTATCTTGACAAAATCAAAATCTTTTCATGATATTTGGCAATTGTTTAGTTTATGTGTGTTTGAAGAAATATAACGATTTTGATACCAATTAATATATTTATAATGAATTGACTCGATTGTGACAAGTTGATGTAGATGGGACTATACTTCCGTTTATTCATAGGTGCACAAGGATTGACACCTGTCTTAAATCCAAAGTGAGCATATGGTGCGAAAGGTGAATGATCACGTGAAGGCTGTCCTTGGCCTCGGGCGGAGCACTAACACGGATTTTGT